AGAACATGTTTTTCAGTTTTTTAATCATATTTGTATAAATACGTGGATTCTAAATGTGTGTCTTAAAATATTAAATATTTCTGTTCTTTGAAAAAAATTGCCAGTCAGTGATTTAGCAGAGGTACTGTTTTTGTTTGTTTGTTTGTTTGTTTGTTTTCAAATACACAATTAAACCACCTAATAAAACCAACCCTGTATATATTAATGAATCTGTTAATTTTTCTAATTCCATAGGAATATGAAGGGAGTTTTTAAAGTCCAAATAAATAAGTGACATTTCATTAATTTCATTTTGTTACAAAATTCTAAACAGCCCTTAAATTGTGCATGCTATCCAATAAAAATGTGCATATATTGAAATCATTTAATCTTTCCACTCCACTATAATATGATTAAAATACATCAATAACCTTTTGTTAATGGATAAATTAGGGGGGTTAATGAAAATGAAAGTATTCTGTTTGAAGTGTAGCACTGCAACAGAAACACATCACACTCACATGCTCAGATAAAAGCAGCTTTCAGCCAAATTACCTGACAGATGCTTTTCACAGGTGAGCTTGTCGTCTTCTCTGACGGCTGAGAGCTGAACCTTTGCTGCCCCAGAGTTGTCTCTGATCTCTGAAGCCTCCAGTGCATGGATTCTCTGTCTGCCTGTCGTTGATTGCAATCTAGAATTACCAGTCTGTTTGTTTTTGTGTGCGAGCTGAAGCAGCTGACAGAGAAGCTTGTTTAGATAATGGGAATGACCATGTTGTTTTCTAATTCAGGTTGTGAGATGCATGTTAGAGTAAGAGAGTGAATCCTAATGTTATCCTAATACACCTTTAAAGGACAAACTCAACACTTTGGCCATTTGTAGGGTAACATAAAAAAGCTGCTGCTGTGTTTTTACTTAGTATACACAGATTATATTGAAGTTGCAAATATTAAATTAAATGCTGTTCATCAACTTTGATAGACTTAAATGATAACTTAGGGGGACTAAAAACATCAGTGTTGTTGTTTTTATTCTCCATTTTACACTTGCAAACAGAAGTGAATGCACCAGCTTTTCCTGTTTTAAATTTACTCTTATTGCTATTATTATTATTTCAATCATTAGTCTGGCTATGTGCATCTTAAATTTAGATAATTATAGCTTCACATATGGAAAAGATATATATATATAAATCTTATAAAGTTTGTATCTGTCTTGTGTGAAACTTGTATGAAAAGCATACAAGAGTGAAAACAGATATAAGATCCCTTGAAAAATTATATAAATGAAACTTGTATCTTTTGGATACTTACTAAAACAATATATGAAAGTAATGAGAAAGTGGCCACTTTCATGAGTAAATCATATAAGCCTTATACGATTCCCTCTATGAAGTAGGCCACATCTTATGCAAGTCTTTTATAAGTTTTTACTATTTCTTTTCCATATGGGTTTACAGACTGTTCCTAGTTAATCGGATAAAAAAAAATAAAAAAGTGTTGAATTTTAAAGTAACAAGTTTTTTCGAACAAAAGTTCGAAACTCCTAGTGGACAAACTGTCAAAATTTTCTGTGTGGCAGGCAGGCAGGACCCGGAGGACAAGGTGTAAAACTGAAAAATAGTTTTATTGCAAAGGCCTTATAAAAACACAATGAAAAACAAAACAGGTCAGAACCAAAAACTCTTCTAGCCCTAACACACGAGAAGGAAGGACACAGCTAGAAGGGAGAACATGACCAAGAGCAAAAGGAAGACTGAGACAATGTATACACCCAGTGTAACGAGGGGAAAGGGACCAGAAGCACAGCTGCGGCTAATTACAGATGAGAGATTGCATTTGAATGCCTTGTGTTTTCTAGTGTAAATGTTCCTGTTTGTGCTGCAGTTTGCTCAGTTAGGGACATAACCAGATGAACTGATGTACCTAGATACAGGCTCAGCGTCTTTCCCTCTTTCCTTTCTCTGTTTGAAAGCAGCAACAATGTCTGAGCCGCTGTTTAGTATTTAGCGCCACTCAAAAATGCGTTTCAAAATGTGTGTGTGCTTGTCTTAGTGTGTGATGGTGTCTCAGCTTCTCTATGTCGTTGTGAGAAGCTACATTCAAATTTTACTTTGATGATGTTGCACTGACTCTTCAAGTAAAGCGCTATACAAATACAGGCCATTTACCATTTACATTCTGTCAGTCTCAGTTGTTTGACATCCTGTGCTGTCTGCTCACCATTCATGGGTCAGCCATATAGATATGTAATCACTCTTTATCTGTAATTAGTCAGAGCAAATGTCTCCATTTGGACAGATCCTTCCTCTCTTGTCTGCCATCAAAATTAAATTGGATTTTTGAAGCTCCTGTTAATCCAACAAAGCCTTGTCTCTTGTCTGTGGAGGGTCCAGTCCAATAGTTAGTCTTCCCCTCCTGTCTTTCTCTTTTCCTTTTTGGCGTGCACCAACATCATAGTGCAGCGTGCCTCTAGTAACACCAATAATTCTGTAGAAAATTTGGAAAAAACTTTGTATAATGTCTTCTTTGATTTATTTTTAAATCAACGAATGAGATCAAGTATCTTTTTATGTTAATGGGTTTATGGTTAAGGTGGTTTATGGTTTATTAGAGGAAATGTTGCTCTTTTCATACTCCCATGATCTTTGTTATTAACTTCTTGCCTAACGGAAAGGATGAGTGCCGTAGCCTTTGGGTTAAAAATTAATCAAATAAAGAGGTGGGATGAGATTGACTCAGATATATGTTAGTAAAGGTAGTTGAACAGTATTGTGCTTATTGCTTTGCTCCCTGAATGTGTGGTGTGTTTCTTTCTTTTCTTTTTTTTCCTTGTGGAGCCTAAAGATGAATATGTCAGTGCTTTAGTTTCTTAGTCATTTTAATGTTGCTGCCTGAATGAAACCCACAGTGATATTTGTGGTCCTCAGTAAACAACTCCTTTTAAGGCATTTTCCATGGCAGTTTGGACTTGCTTGATTTTTTTCAATGGAGTGGTACCAAAAAGACCAAGAACTTTGCCAAGGAAACCATTTAATCACAAATATGTACAGTTGGCACACAGTAGAAAAACACTGGACAGTTTTTAGTCTCATGTGCTCTCTGTGCTCTAAAAAAGAAAAAGTGACACTATACATTTTTTAACATAGTAACTATTTTGCAAGTGGTGAATTTATTTTTTTTACCGCTTACTTAAGAAAGTCATAATTCTGCTTAATCATATTTATGGTTTTATATAAAAAAAAAAACTTAGTCAAAAGTCAAAGTATTAATTATGCAGAATATTCTCTTTTTTATATATATGATATTATTGGATGATAATTATTAAGTTATGTGTAAGTCATTCATTCAAGTCATTACTTTAAGCAACCATTAGAAGGTCCAAAATAGACCCCAGCTGAGTCCCCCATTTGACCATAGTGGGTTCACTGAACTTTCAGCCTGTAATATATTTTATATGTTTGGTAATTTAAGTCGATCAACTTTGTTTCAGGGTTGGAGAAAGTTGGCCGTGACTCCATCTATGAACAAGAGGGGAAAGTGCAGTTTGTGATGGACGCCGTCTACGCGATGGCTCATTCTCTGCACCACATGCACCGTGAGCTCTGCCCAGGGTACCTTGGCCTGTGCCCTCGTATGACCAACATTGATGGAAAAGAGCTGCTGACCCATATCCACGCCGTCAACTTCAATGGTGAGACTTTGGCGTGATTCAAAATTCCATAGCCAAAGGTGAACACAATTCATTCTTGAGAACTGAAGATCTCAAAAAATGCCTCTAAAATTTCAAGTTGTGCTTGACTGGGACAATATTTTTTGTCTTGATGATGAGCAAACACACAGGGAAGCTGCTACAGCAAAAGGCTTAAAATGATGATGCCTTATTAAAACCACTACCCTTTCTTTAGGTCAGGGGTCGGCAACCCTAGGCACGCGTGCCACAGTTGGCACGCAAAGGGTTAACTGATGGCACGACCATAGCTGGACTGGCCATTGGGCATACTGGGCATTTGCTCGGTGGCCCGGTGATCTTTTTTTTTTCTCTTTGTAACGGTATAAACAATGAAAGGTGGTGGATTGGCCAGATGCTGGTCGGTGTGTAAAAATAACTCGGTTGTTTGGTGCTGGCTATGGCGGAGCTTCTACAGATTCAGTAAAATTAGCAAGTGGTGGAGGCCAGCAGGTGGATGAGAAAAAGGGGAGGCAGGAGGAGGAGAGCCCCGAGGCAGCCACCGGTCCGAGTGTCAGGTGAACTGAACTTCAGGTAAGAAGTTATGACCTGCAGTCTATCTGGGTCAGATATAAACCAAGTTTAGGTGGAATTTGTTTTCGTTGTGCTGACTTTTTGCAGTCAGTTACAATAACTCATACTGCGTACTCGCTAGCATGACGGAGTTTATATACTGCTGGGTGGGTGCTATGATGTTACTGAT